TAAGAGACGTGTGTATTTTCAACCCTAGCTGTCCAGCTTTGATTTCTATAGAAAGAATTACTTTGATTGGTGCTATACAAACAGAAACTTCTTTTTTCCTTATTTTTACATATAAAATTTTCTGATTTTTACATTCTGCAAGAAAAGTGTGAGTTCCACAGTGATTTGTACCTAGTTTATATCTGCCGCAGGGGAATGCACAAATTCTGCTTCACTGGATAGGTAATGTAAGGGTATTTTCTCTGTTAGTGCTTCAGTACCCTAACCCCTAGTCCTCTCCATGGTCAGTTCTATCCAGAACTCTTTAAAAACAACTTTGTCATTTCTGTTGTGCCTTACACATCCTTCAGGACATCCTTATAAAGCCCCTTCTCAGAAATGATCTTTAAAGTCCACCTTTTCTTTTAACATATAATTTAACTTTTTTGCTAGGCAGAATCAGACTTGGTTAGTTCTCGGATTGGAAACAGCCAAGGAATAATATGGCTGAAGGGTGGACTGGGAACCGAAAAAACACCCTAGTAGAAAATGATGGCAGGCCACTTCTCTACTGCTGCCCAGAAAACTACACGGAAATCTCCATGAAATCACCAGGACTCAAAGGAGACCTTTCTTTTCTCCCTCCCTTCCTCCCAAGTTTTCAAAATGATTGTCTATGTACCTTGTAACTGAACTGAACACATGTTATTTCCTGTTATAGTTTCCTTCATTCTTCTATCACTCTTCTTTTGTCTCCCCTGGGTAAAATGTCAGTTTGTAAGCTCATGACTTCTGAACAAAAAATAACACGCATGGTAATCGGCCATGGTGATACTATGTGGTGATAGGATTGTTTGATCTGAATTGCTATTTCTACTGTTGAGACCAGTTTGCATTTGAGCAGCTGAATGTTTTTGTGATGCGGTGGGTATGGAGAAGACGCCATCCCTCTGCAACATCCACGTAACTAGATACTGGACTGTATGTAGTTCCTGACTATGTTTTTGGATCCCAGAACTGTAGAATTGTTACATTCAGGCCATTTAGGCCTCTGAGTCCAACCCCATATTACATGCAGACGTCTAAATTAAAGCATTCTCAATTGATAATGTTGATTTATTAGATTTAGAGGCTGCCTGATCTGTTCTAATCTAATGCTACAGTTTGAAAAACAACAAAGAAAGAACCTGAAATGTCAGGACAATCATATGATATCCCGTATATCAAAAAATGGCTTCCAAAGTCTGCTTTAACACATCCGGTGAAGGGGAAGCCACTCATCTGGTAATGAACTTCATTTTGAGTTGCTCTTAGAATGGGACTTTTTCCTTCTAACATTCCATCAGACTTTTTGGAGCATCCATTTTATTTTGTCTGTAGACAATCTGGTTAAGCAAAACCGTCTTTCAGCTTAACACAGTTATGTAACTCTCTCAGGCCAAAAGTCGCCCTTGGATTGGAGTAATATTTTAGGGCTACATTCCAAAAAGTAGCTGAGGCTAAGATGAAGACATGAGCTGAGATAAATGTGAAATTTATTTATTTATTTATTTATGGTTAAATTAAATTGAAGTGAATTAAATTTACATTAGCTAAAGTGAATATGTTTATTCTCCAGATATTTAAGCATTTTCCTGTTCTAGTATATTAAAAATTAAAATTCAGTGTTGTCTGTTCTAAGAACTTAGCTTTCAACTTCGCTTTCAAGACTCCATTATAGGCCCTTGGGTAATTAGGATTTATCCTCCTGCTTTAACAAATTTGGCCAAGACATTTGCTGCCTAAAAGTAACTAATTCTTCCTGCCCTGGCCAAAGGTGCATAATATCCAGATCAGTCAAGTTAAGTTAGTACTTCAGTTTTTTAAAAAACTCTACAAATAATTCTTCCCCTGCAGTAAGAAGATGACAGTAATCAAGCAAAGTTGTTCTTTCATGGCAGCCAGTTTCACTTTGCCTTCCTGATGGGAAGCAAAATTTTTGTCTCTTTCCCTCCTCTTCCCCTTTATGGAAGTCATCAGTATCCTAAGTTAAATTGTATGTTTTAATCTCTGGTTTATTTTTTAAATAATGAGATATCATAGGAGTGATCTTGTTGTGCTTCTGGAGGGGGATAGTGAAGAGATTCTTTCAACTGTTTTTCATACCTGTTTGAACGCTGTCTATCAACTGCGTGTATTGAGTACCATTTGCACCTTCTCTCATGTTTTCCTTTGATGCTACTCTTGCAGGTAGAGGCAGAGAAACACCAAGATGTTGTGGTCTATGACCAGAGCACACGGGATGTAAATGGGCTGGCAACCGACAGTTTCCTCTCCATTCTTCTGGGCAAGCTGGTTAGTTGCTTCCACAGTGTCTCCATCCTCACAGGTAGGATTGGGCAGCAGTTGGGGGGGTGGGGACTGAAACTTCTCTTCATACTCCAGAGGCAGAGGCTCATGTCCATATCCACACAGACTTTGGTAAAATGATGGTAGAAAACTGCTGGATATCTTACCTTGCTATTTAGTATGCTCTTGTAGGTAGGTAGGGCCACCCAATTTGTAAAAAGCTATTCTGAACAACTTACAGTTGGTAGGAACATAAAAACAAGGAACTACATAATAACATGCAATAAACATCCAGAACAGAAAAGTGAACAATGGCATAATAATAATAATAAAAACAATTCACCAAGACTAACCAATGCATACTGTATCTCATTCAGGGTCTTTCATTCTAGATGAGGTCATCCTGCATTCTAGTCCAATGCCTGGTGGAAGAGCCAGGTTTTCAGGGCCTTATGGAGGGACTGAAGGGTCAAGGCCATCAAATGGGGGAGCTGTTGTTGTTCCACAGGGAGGTGTTGCAAAGAGAAAGCACACCTCCTGGATCCCACTAGGTGATGCTGTTTCATAGAAGGGACTGAAGCACACCCTTCTGCCAGGTCTCATGGGCCAAGCAGCTATAATTGGAGACAGGTAGTCCTGCAGATTCATTGAATGCAGAGTGAAATGAGAAATATACAGGTAGTCCTTGTTTAGCGACTGCCTTGATTAGCAACTATTCAGTTACGACAGTGATGAAAAAGTAACTTTGTGACCAGTCCTCACGTTTATGACCTTTGCAGGTCTATAAAGTAAAGGAAAGCTGAAGATTGTAAGTTGTGGTTTCACTTAGTGACTGCTTCACTTAATGACTGAGTTGCCAGTCCCAATTGTGGTCACTAAACCTGAACCTGAATTTCCTGGTGTGCCTATGACATCTTGATTAATTTTAGTCAGAAAGGAAGCATTGCTGGTCCAAATGATAGTGATAAGGGACATAGAATAGTTTTTCTTTTATAATTTATGAACAAGCCCTATATCAAAGTTGTTAAATCTTGCCCACTTGGTGGGCAAATGTCTCACAAATTGTACTTTTTCCATATTTTGTGATTTTTTTCTGCATTTTTTTCCCTTGCTTGTTGTCAAAAATGTAATATTGTCTAAAGTGGAATGTGGCCACTAATAGTAGTTTCCATTCTGAAACAGGGTGGGGAACCTAATTTTACCATAGTGGCAGCTGCTGAGGTGATGTGCTATTAGGTAAACAGGTTATTTTGAAGAGGAATTGCATTAAGATTCCAGAGGGAAGCTTCTTGTTCTGCAAATCCAGAGTTTTTTTTAAGCCATGGTTAACTGAGATTAAGGTGGGGGTACATGGTGATTACTGAGTTCAAAGTATTTTAGACACTCTGAAATTTAAATGGTGGAAAAATGCGTGATGCATTTTCTTACTGGTACAGAGCGTTGATAGGCAACCGGATTATCTCCGCAAGTGCCATCAGCCTTGGACTCTGGATGCCTGGCCTAGATCATGAAATTAATATGAGTGAAGGGTATCCTGCTTTCTTCTTTTACCAGCTTTTGTTAAACCAGAATTAGTGTTTGTTTCGAAAATTATTCTGGAAAATAATAGGACCATGAAGATACAGTTTGTTCCAGGTAGGGTTTTCTGATTGTAGGGGCTAGTGGTTTCCATCCTTTTGGGCTTTGAAGTCTTTATCTCGATTAAATATTGTATCTCTGGAAAGCACAGATGATTTTTTTTTTTTAAATTGGGGGGAGTGAACAGAAGTCTGCAGGGATAGAAATATGTACAATTGTTAGCAAGCTTAAATTTGGTTTATTCATGCTAAATATATTATGCATAATTTAGAAAGCAGCTGTAATTTGTTTGGTATATTTATGAAATGTTAAAAGTATATCTGCTTCATTTTTATTCATAT